CTGATAGGTTTAAACTCATCTTTATGGACATAAAGCATCTAAAGTATCTAAAGCAGCCTGGTGCCATCCAAATGTTTTGGAGTACAACTTGCATAGGACCTGTCCAGAATGGCCAATGATCAGGAATTATGAAAGTTGTTATCTAAAGGGTACCAGATTGCCTAGCACTGATCTAAAGAACCTGGTGACTGGATTTCATGAAGAGACAATTAGATAATGATTATTCAGTCAAATCTAGGGGTGCATAAACAAGAAAAACTCATGTTAATCAAAGTTCTCCAAATTCCAGTTCAGAGGTCAATCCCTCTCATGACTTCATCAAATTGTAATCTTGTTTTCCTTTTTTACATCAAAATTTGTGCATATTTCCACAAGCATGTGCCAATTGTGTGAATTGTTGACAAGCATGCTTTCTTCTTCCATTGATTAATAAATGTTTGTGTGCATTTTTCTAAAATAGGCATCTTTTCCAAATGTATGGATGCTGTCATATGCATTTTGTTTGGTTTGTGAATCACACTGCAAGCTCAAAAATGTGGAGATTTCAACTGTAGATTCTGCCTGACTCTGTTTGGTTCAGAAGAGGTGAATCCTGAGCAAAATTTAAATGAAACAAAGTTTGTATATATCTTTAGTCTAACCGATGAGAAACTGAAAGACTCTTGCTTCTGGGACCTACCTAGCCAGCAAATTCCAGACAGGTACACTTAGTCACAATGTACTTTCAAACAATCCCAGGAAATTTCCTTCTGAATATTTTCATTAATATGTGAAATGAAGCCTGTAATTTTTGTCCACAGAGAATGGTTAACTGAAATAAAGCAATACTGGATAGAAACAGGTCTGGCACAATGCAACTTTGTCAAATTCTATCAATTTCCTATTCATTAGAGTGTCAGCGACACAAAACTGCAAATGTCAAATACATCCTACAAAGAAGGTTTATAATCAGCTCGGAGGTATCTTAATTCAGAAGCTAAATAAAATTGCATAAGTCTGCATCTGAAGCACTTGCGATCTTTAATTTTACTGTCATCTGCACCTCAGTGCTTTCCAAGCTTCTGATGAGTGAGCCACACCTTCCCCACATACACATTAAAGGGCAAGGTGTACTTCACTTTTACATCCCAGAATCAAGAATAAGAACTTACTGTCCTCAGTCCTCTCTGTTTCTGGTCCAGATACCACTTCCCTTGTGTTTTCTCATGACTCACTATTCTGGGGATGCCTCCAGACTGGAAAACGATCAAGTCTGAATGGTGCCTTATGCAAAACTGCCCCCTAACACTGAGAACGGATGTGATTAGAAAGAGGTCAGAGCAGTGAACAGTGCTGAGGCAGAATGCCTTGTCATAACAGAGGATTTATTCCCATAGCCCACGGTCCTATCATGGCATGTCACTGTGCTCAATGCACAGCATGGCAATCTATGATCAAGATATGTTGCAATTAGATGGGGTTGACCAGTCACCTGCCACAAGTTAAGACAGCTGAGTCAGAGGCAGTCAGAACCACAGGGCAGAATTCAGTGGGACATTCTCCTGTGTAAACCCCATTGATACTATAATCTGCCCTGTCATATGGACATATAGCCAATTTCTGGTTTTGCATAAACAGCTTCTCAAAATCACCAACCATATATCTCAGGTACCCTTTGGCACAGCTGAAACCAGTGTGGCCTAATCACATTCTGTTGCTGGCTGAGTACTCTAGCTAGCCTCTGTCAGTTCTAGCAAAATAATGCCACCTCTGTGCATTGTATAACGATACCCTTGCTACTGGAGGTATGTGTGAGTCATGTAACTTCGTAGTGCTCTCTCTCTCTCTCTGGAAGAGTAAATAGCAATTATATTTCTCTGTGGCTATGCAGATATTTTCTTGCTGGTTTTACATAATATGGGATCATACAACAGCAAAGAAATCAAGGCATCACTCCTTGTAATGCTAGACTGAGGTGATAAATTCCAGTAGAATTCTAGTCAAATAAGGACCACAGAGAACCAAGGGGAAGGTATTAACTTGCTCAGAGGACCTGCATATTGGCAGAAGGACAGATAAATATATAGGGGGACAACAGCTAGTCTGTACCCAGCAGCTGAAAATTATTGCATACCCTGAGTGTTTGTGATGGCTCTAGGGCTTAGAGAGTCCTAGGGCAGGGCAAGCTCAATGGACTTTCTCCTTCAGTGGGCTGCCATTGCCACTGCCATTGTCATCAGCTTCTAGTGCTCCTCAGCCTCTTTCATATCATTGCTAGAATGTGTTTCTTTGACAGGCCGAATGCTTTTGAGCAAGTATGTCTTAATTTATTAATGGCATTAAAAGTTAAATGCATAGTTAAAAAGGCACAGATTTCAGCTACATGAACCATGCATATCTTAAATGCTGTAGTCTGTAGGTAGTGGCATCTCTTGTTCATCCCCACTGCTGAATGAGCCAGATGAAGGGCAAGGGACCAAGTAGGTTGCCATGATGAAGAGGATGAGAAGACACTCCAGGGGCCTTAGCAGGACCCAACTATGCTATCCTTGATGCCGGTTTTGTGCTGTGTGATACAGTGCGGGGACCCTCAGAGCAGTACGCTAACCCAGCCAGACAGCTGCTCAGGCATTCATCACATGGTTCAGAGTGCCCCAAGTGCCACGTCTTGGTTAAGTGTCCTTGCAGCTGTCCTCACCACCCAGAGGCAGCATGCCCTCTGCTGCATTGCTAGGGCCCTGAGAGAATGACATCAGCAGCCCCTCAATGAGAGAGAATACACTCATTGCTCCCAAAACCAATTTTGTGGAAAGGCGACTGGTAATGAAAGTGATGCACCAACCTCACTATGCTTAATTGACCTTTATGCACAAAGAGCCGAGCTTGCGAAGCGGCTGTCAGCATGACATGATTTTGCTTGTTCAAAAGATAAAGAAGTATATTAAACAAGTTCCTAATCAAGAGATGTCATTCCTCTTATTAATTTCATACCTTAAGGGAATACAACCAAGGATTATTTTTAGATTAATACTGATTTCTCATTGGAATGAAGCTGTGATGCTCCAGCTGCACAAAAATGATTGACTTTTGTTTACTGCGACAAACAGCAGGATGACAAAATTAAGTAGAAGATTTTAAGAAAATGTAGTGTAGCTAATCATACAATTGATGTTCTGGGCTTATTTTAAAATGATAATCTTGTTACCTTCACTTGTATTCCAGTGCTTGCTCTATGAGCAACTCTTATGTATGTTTCACCCTATCCTTTCTCCAAGTTGGTCATCTCCCACCATTCCTCTGCTCCATCCCCAGTGTAAAGAAGGCCAAACCCTTCCACTAGAGTTCAGGCCTGAATGGGAGCTACACCTCTCACTATTACTCTCACAATAGCAGAGAGGATAAGATGCGGTTCCTGAGTGCCATTCCTCCCCCCCCCCCCACCCACACACACACCACCATCAATATCTAGAGTCCAACTCTGAAACCATCTGCATAAGAAGCAGGGGTGGGGAAGAATCCTGCTTTGTGAACTTCAGGAAAGCAAGGAAATAGCTGAAGGTCAACACCCATAGTGAAGGAATCCTAGCCAATACATATGCAACAAGGCAGCAAGAGTTTTACTTCAACCCACATGAATACAGATGGAAAGAGATGCTAGTACTGAAGAAAAAACATTGCTATCTTGTGTTGATTGGAAAGCTTCCCAGGAGTTGCCATCTGCTATCCTGCTCTGACCCCAGGGTGAGCTTTTCCTCCTCGAAAGAATTGCTGGTAGAAAATCTTTTCCCCTAGTGTAGATCAGGCCTATAGACCTAGAGAGACCCCTTAAGGTAATCTAGACCTCATCCTAGTGAAGTTTGGTCTCACAGCATTTGTCCCTTCTGGCCTGGCTGAAGGATCCACTAAGATGGTTCTTGGAGTTTATGGAATGTGATGGATTCCTGAATATTCTGAGTATTTCCAGCAACCAGAGCCAGTGATTCTATTAAGTTCCTAGTCTTGCTGTGGAGTGATAAGATGAATTGGTATGTTGACACCATTGTTCCTGAGTGTCTTGTCCAACAATGTTAAATTCCAAAGGGGCAGCCATTGGTTTTCAGGAGAGCTCTGACCAATATAAGAGACCAAACCATGACTAGCACATAAGCAGCAGAAGACTTGCTATGAAGCTGATTGAACACAAGGGCATCATTGTGCCTATGCTGCGGCAGTGTGGACACCAAAGAAGGCTCACTTAGCCATCTCCATTGCATCCTCAAAAAGCCACCTAACAGCACTATTCTGGGTAGAACAGGGTTTATTAAAGGTATGCCAGGACTCTCAGAAGCCTGCTATACCATTTTTGCAAAGTACACTCAGGATAGTCCCTCCCATCTTCACAACAGTCTTAATGCTGCTGTTATAACAAGTCTTGGGATCCATTCTAGTTATTGTGGACTGAAGACTTGCACCAACTGACCATATGACCTCTTGACTCTTGCTGAGCATGGCTCATTTGGACCAGCAAAACAGAGCTGACTGTATGGGTCCAGGGAGTAGTACATTCATCACAGTGTGAGGGACCGGTGCTGGCTGCCCTTCAAGAGATAGTGGTGTAACCACCTTCCCAGAAACCAAGGATTTAAAACAACTGTTCTTGACCTTGGAGCCTGGCATTTGACCCATCTTGTGCTTCCATCAGACAATGCTTGGGGACCATAGAATCATTCTCCTAATAAGCAAATCTACTGTGATTAAAGTTGCAATCCTGTGCTGAAAATTGTAGGATGTTTTTCTGTCTAAATATGAATAGGATTGTGTCCTCAGTAATGAAATAGATACAGGTTTCTTTTTAGAAATGCAGCCAGCTACCATTTCAAAATGATTTTAATTCTGGAATCTAATTTTCATAACAGCAAATCTGGAAATATAAAATCTATTCCAAAGGGATATTAGTAGACACTGTTTAGCCAAGTCTAAAGAAAAAAAATCTCCATGTATTAACGATCAACTAAAATACTGATTTAATCTGGGCATCCTACCTGAACGCATGGCATCTTTTTGCATACTTTCATAGTCATGCCAGTCCTTTCTTTTCAAGCCATCTGTCCAGGTATACAGTTGTCCATCTCCAAGCCCCATTGGGAATGTCTATGGAAACAAAAATATATAATTACAAACTTAAAAGAAAAAATGGCACACATTGCTGATCTTTACTATACACACTAATCAGGTTCCCTCTATGTCCTGCAATGTACAAATGGAGCTCATTCATATGTAGGGTAATTTTCCCTTACACTTTAATTATTGAACCAAAAATGTAGAAATTCTTCTGGTAGGAACCTTTTGGGCTGTTTTTTCACCTGTCTTTAGCCATTTAGCAAAATCTTCCTGCTGTTTAGCAGATTTTAGAAGAAAATGCTATCTGCGAGCATCTTTTTTTAGTCTTGTGTCCTTTTAGACTTTTCAATTGTTGCAAGTGCTGCCATTTCTTAATTAAGTAGAATGGATTTACTGAGAGTGTGTGCATTTTTAACTTTGGACTGTATTCAATAAGGTTGCTGTGCCCTCATAGATATGGTTTGCAAAAAAGAAAAAGCATTTCACGATTCAACTCCAGAAGCAAGCAGAAACACATGTTTCTGGATCAGGACAGGTCAGCAAAGTAGTCTTCTACAAGGTCCACTGATAAGCCCCATTCTGGAAAAGAGCATTTCCCAGTTTCTGCCTGTTCCTGGAAACAGTCACTTTCCTTTCAGCAAGAGCCAGTCCTCCTAGCGCATAGGACAGCCAGAATTCCATCCTTTGTTTCTCTTTCTCTGTAGCATTTTACTTTTCAAATGCAAATAACTTTGGTCATCTCTGAAGAAAATTAGAATGAAATGAAATTAAAATTAAACTAATGAAGATGGCAGCTCTGTTCAAAACTGCCAGTAAAAACCTCTTAAAATAATCAGTACTAAAACTGATGTTAAAACATCAGTAGGTCAAGTCAGTCTTCCTGAAGGCTGTGCTAAGAAAAATGGTAAAGATTAAAATACTGAGGTGTATATTATACTATGCACTATTTGTCCCCTCAGCCTTGGTATTTTATGCCTGTTTTTATGTTTTTCTTGCATAATTTAGTTTAATCTTCCATTTGAATCATGTCTAGATATAATATTTCCCAGTAGCCCTTGCAGTAACTTGAATCTCTAGCCTGGAAAAGAAGGTTGCCATTCCTGAGAGAAGAAAGGGACAAAGGCCGGAAAAGAATAAAACCAGGAGGGCAGGGACTAAAAGAGGCCCATAGCCTGGGAGTCAGTCTGTGGAGGCTGGCCAAGCCCTGAGTGGGAACTGTGAGAGTTGAAATGGAAGCATTTTGGAGCTGGAGTCTGTTTGACCCTGTGTCTGTCCACATGATCTGCTTGATATTGTCCTTCTACTTGGTCATCCTTCAGTTCTCACCACCATCTCACCACCTGGCATTGGAAACAGGCTCCCAAAGGAGTCCTGGCTATTGTTCCTGCTGCATAATTTTAGACAGGGTGTGAAAATGAGGTAAGTGGAACTTTTTAGAAGTTAGGTTAATTGGTTTTCTGTTGTAGTTTTCACCGGCTGTTCATTTAACAACTGTTAGTTTACTAGCTTGGTTGTCATACATGTTGCATATTGCTTACTTCTTTTATGCAGCAGTGGCCAAATGTGAATGAATACATAAGATCTATATGAGCAGTTTGGAAGCAGAAGCATTTTGACCATTGTTCTCCAGATGGAAGGCATTGGGAAAGCCTTGAAAAGAGGAGCCAGAACCTATGGAGAACCAGTGTTGAACTGGAAACCACAGCAGCTGTGTTGTCCAGTCCTCATGTGCCACCCTCTAAAGGCACAACTTCCCTGTGGAATTTAACACTGTACCTATTGTTGGTAGAGTTCTGTAGCCCACCAACACCAGTGTAGGGTTAGCTGACCTATTGCCTTCTGCATTTTCCTCCAAGCCTGACTGAACAGGCACATAATGCATTATTATCTCATTACAGCAATGAATAAGGAGGCATAGCTTGAGTAAGGAGACATAGGCATAGCAACTGCCATTCAAGATAACAAACCATGGTGAACAATTCACAGTTCATAATCACAAAATAAACTATGGTTCTTCTTCACAGGTTGTCCCTGGATAAAAGCTATGGCTGGTTAATGGAGCTCAGGACAGTCAACTGAACAACCCACATTTTAACAGCCACACACAATTCGACAACAACCCTCACTCAACATTACAACCCTCAACTTTTGTTGTAAGCCGCCCCGAGCCTTCGGCGAATGGGGCGGCATAAAAATGTTTTAATAAATAAAAAATAAAAATAAACATACTCTCCATCCTTGAGCGTGGGTTATGTTGTCTGAACCTAGTCATACCAAACACTAAAATCCTATGTATTTCAGTATCCTGCATATTCAACATGTGTTGGACTTCTGCAGTTTCACCAGCCCTTACCAACACATTCTCTCACATATCTGCAGAAATGTAAGGTCTAGAAATGCTTATTTTTGCTTGTTTTTTTTTTTAACATGGAGGTTATCGGGAAATGCTTTCTTTCCTCGGTATTATGTTTTGCACTTTTTCAACACTTGCAGAGTTTTGTAGCATGCATCAAACCCCGAGTTACGGGGCAACAAGAGAAACTGGAACAATCCAATTGCAAGTATTGTACTAGTCACCAGCTAACTCAAATGTCAGGTACAAGCCTTTCTATGGACTTTGAGTCCAATGTACTCTTTTTTATCAACAGTAATCCATTTCTGACATGGCCATCCTAGGAAAAGCTCTCGCAGCTGTGTAAATGTAGTTTCAACTTTTAAATGAGCAAGTTGCAACACTGAGAAATAAACCAATTTTCTGTATTGCAAAGAGGAGCTCAATAATGCAGAATCAGAGAATATGCTCTAATATGAACAAAGGGTCCTGTATTCTAAAGTGGTACATTATTAAAGGATAAATTAGCAGATTTTCATGTTGCTTTACAGCATAGAAAATGAATTAACTCCAAACCGGATCCTCTCTCATGTCAACTGAATTGATCATTCTTTCATGTTGAAATTCCAACAACAACAACAACAGAAGATTCTCTTGCCCTTGTTTTGAGAATATGACTAGAAATAACAAGCTAGTTATTAAATGTTGCAGGACCAAAGGGAAATAGCATAGCTACATTTATTCTCTGATATTTTGTACTGCTTAAGCTGTAGATTAAATAGACGGATGTTGTATTACCCAGCTTTAGCACTGTCAGTCATGCTTATTTGCTTTCCCTTGATCGCCTGGAATAGTTACTTTCCTCCTCTGATGGCAGGAAACTTTAGTTTAACTATTCAGCAAACTCCCTGAAGTATTTCAAATTTCCCCAGATAATATAGCAATTTCAGCTGCCCAGTATTAATACACCCAAAGCCTTATTTGAGCACGAAATGGAAACCTTCATTTTCAGAAGGAGTGAAACATTTCAAACCAAGCTTGCTTCACAAATTTATGTACTAACTTATTTTTCTACACATTGCCTGTATTCTGACAGGAATGATGAGTTAAAATACAAGGTCAGCTACTTGAAATGCAATCTGTGTTTTTCTTACTGGAATAAGTGCACTCCTCAACATATACTTGTGTGGAGCAGGATTAGTGTTAGTGAATAGACACTCTCATAATGTGTAATTTGCTCCCTGAGCTACACATCCAATATTATGGATACCAGGGAATGGGGGTCATTAAGACAACATAAATGACATGCCCATCTTTTGCATTGCCAAGCACTGTGGCCCTCCAGCAAAGATACAGGGAGTCTACCATCTCAAGAGTAAGAGTACCCCTCAGAAGTATGAGAGCTCTTCAAAAGCAGGGGATTCCTCAGGAGTAGGTATGCTGATGCCCTGGATTATTTTTTTATTTAGTATATTTTTACACTGCCAATCACTTCGAAGTCTCCCGGGGGTAATTTACAAAATCTAAATGCAATAATAAGTATAAAACAATCATTGTAAACTCACCATAAAATACAATAATGCACCAATGCAATATTACAATTTTATATATTATAGCCACTGCAGATACAGTGTGTGCGCGTGCGTGTATGAGAATAAAATCTGGCACCAAAAGGAACATAAAGTGGGCAGCACTTCTGACTTAGACAGAAGAGACTGGCTGGATTGCACCAAAGGATGCTGAACTTCTTTCCTTCCTGCAACAGATTCTTCTGAACAGGAAGCAAAGCTGTTATTGCAGTGGGGCCAGCAAAGGATAATGTGGGACACCCCCTCCCCCAGTTTGCCCTCTCCCTAAACGCTCTATGATATGCATATCCATCCATACAACAATCTAATCTGTGTCACTTTGTATGTGTTCACCCAAACAAATCTTTGTTTAAGCAAAGATTTAAATGAAATAACAATATTTAGGAATCACTTTACATTAAAATAAATTTATGAGTGCTGTGCAAAGCAATACTGTATAAAATCATAACTGAATATTGCCTGTTATCGCTGAACAGAAAGACAAGATTACCTTTCTGGGAATCTTTGTCTGTAGAATGATCTACACAGAAAACTGCATTTAAATAAAGCTGGTTTGTGTAGCTGGCCAGTTCTTATCCAAAATTTGCAAAGATCAGATTCAGCAAGTATATGCTTTTCCCTTTCCTCTACCTATCATACGAATGGACACTTCCCTACTCATTTTTATATAGAGCTTTTTTAAATGCCAGTGATTAAACCATGTGGTACAATGCCGTGTGGACATTTGCCTTTTTCTTATTCAAGATGGTGAGGAAGGCAAGTTGGGGTGGGGATCAATATTACAGTGACTTATGGGGCTTTATCTTCACCCCTTAATTTTATAGAAGAATTAAGTACAATGACCTAGGAAGTCATTTCTGACAAGCAGAATTCAGACATAATAATTCTTCTAATGAGGCCTGTTGTGAGGGAAGAAATGAACATTAGTGACCCTTAGGGAATTAGATTTAATAACATTTTCTCCATGCACACACAGTAGGAGACTTTTTCTTATTCAGTGAGCCTGAAGGGGATTTTTAGGAATTTCTGAAAACTTCAGAGCTATATTCCGTGAGGCAAGCAAGGAATTTTAAATTAAGGGGTGTGAAAATTTGAAGCTGTCTGCAGTT